TGGGAAGGCAGGAAACTCAAATTCTAGAACGCACTACTTAACCCTCACCTGTGCTTCGGTCTGCGTAGGGCACCCTGGCGAACTCTGCCTCTAAGCTCAGCAGTGTGGATGAAAAGAGCTTTGGAGTCCACCGGGTAGAAATCCCAGCTCTGCCACTTACTTACTGTGTGACTTAGCCTCTCACTATCAGCTGTAAAATGCAGCTAATAATTTTTACCTCGTATGGTTGTGAGAATTTAACAGCATAATGCATATCTTTGGCACACAATGTGTTGGAGAGCAATTGTCTCCCTATTCTCCCTCTTCCTATCATGCTGATTTAACCCTCCTTCTCTCTGCTACCATTTAGGTGGAAGAGAGGCTGGAAGCAAGTTTGGGGCTGAGAAAGATAGTTTCAAGCTGGGCAGTCAGTTTGTAAATCTCCAAAGGTGCGCTGGTGGATTTTGTTCTCATTCTTCTCCAAAACGAAATAAGTGCAGCAGCAAGAAGGACCCAGGTGAGACCAGACACAGGACTTTTTCACTATGGAAGCAGAAAATTACTCGGGCAGCTGAGTGTGGTGGCTTAGGGTGGCTGCTTGCCAGAACAAGACAGCCAAAGCCAGTGACAAAGGGAAGATGGGCTGGGGAGAGGGCAGGCCAGTGTTCCTCACCCTCACCCTGAGTCTGAGCTGGGCATTATCTGGGATGTTATATTGCTTAAAAGTGCCACATCTCTACTTTTGGGTGTTAGTTTCTTAGGGCTGCTGTAACGAAGTACCATAAGCTGGGTGGCTTAAACAACAGAAATTTTTGGCTCAGTTCTGAAGGCTAGAAGTCCAAGATCAAGATGACTGCAGGGTTGGTTCCTTTTTAAGGCCGTGGGGGAATATTTGCTCCATGCTTGTTTTCTAGCTTCCGGTGGGTTGTTGGCATTTTTTGGCTTGTAGATGCATCACTCCACCTCTACCTTCATGTTCACATGGGTTCTTCTTGTGTGCATGTGTCCAAATTCCCCCTTTATATAAAGACACATCATATTTGATTAGAGGCCCACCCTACTCCAGTTATGACCACATTTTAACTAATTACGTCCACAAAGACTCTATTTCCAAATAAGGTTACATTCTGAAGTGCTGGGGGTTAGGACTTCAACATGTAAATGGAGTGTGTGTGTGTGTGTGTGTGTGTGTGTGTGTGTGTGCACACAAGTCAACCTGTACCAGGTGTGTTCGGTTAATTGCAGGAAGATCTTGCCGCATCTCCACTTAAGAACTTCTCCTGACTCTCAGCTACCTGCAGAATAAAGTGAAAAGCCTGACGACTTGTGAGGGTCTTCACAATCTGGGCTGCACAAGCCTAACCGCCTCCCCTTCAGCGCCTCCCCCAGACTCTCTACCCCACGCTGCAGCTCTCTGGAAGAGTTATGTTGAACCTCATATTCCCTGCCTTTTCGGCAGGCGCAGCTCCCTCCTTCCCAGCCGGATTCCGCTCCTCTGCTTGCTTTTTCTCTCCTCTGCGTCTCTCCGGAAAGGCCCTGAGATACAGAATGACTGGTAGAGCACCGAGGGACGTGTCTGTCCCCATCCTCCCCTCCCAGCACGCACATATGCGGTTCTCTCCGCACCCCAGGGCCTTGCACAGTTCCTTGCTCTGGGAGCTCCCCGCCCGAGAGCGTTTCGGGCTCAAAGACGCCCAAGCTGAGGTTTCCCGAGCCTCCAGGTTTTCTGGCTCTTTATAGTTAGTAAGACTCTCACGCCCCCTGGAGGGCGGGACGCGACCACACAGGGACAGAGAGCAGCCACACTAACAGAGGGAGACTCTTCTTTATTGCCCTTTTTCTGCGGGCTGACACCGGGCGGGCTGACAGAGGGGAGAGGGCAGGGCCAGGGTAGGGCCAGGACAGGACCTGAGCAAGGGCTCAGACCCCGGACCGTCCCCCGGGCGCGACAGACGAGGTGGCCTCAGCGGGACACCGGCGCCCGGGGCAGGGGCGCGGCGCTGACTCTGCGCCTGCGCGGCGGCCCATGGTCAGGATGCCGGCCGCGTGGTTGCCACTGGCCTGCAGGAGGCGCTGCAACCGGCCCTGGAGGCCCGGGGGTCCGGGCCGCCGCTTGCCCAGCGTGAGGATGCCGGCCGCGTGATTGCCCGCGCCGTGCAGTAGCTCGTAGAGGCGGCAGGAGCAAGTCTTCTGACGGCAGCAGTCGGGCAGAGGCTGCGCAGCCGCCCCGGGCGACAGCAGTGCAGGCGGCAGCAACAGCAGCAGGAGCAGCAGCGTCACGGTGGCCCAGGAGACCTGGGGAGGCGGAGACCGGGCTCTGAGGGTCGCCCGCATCCAACCCCTACGCCCGGGCCCTGCACAGCTGGCTTCACGCCCCCTCCTGGCCTGTGCTCCTCCCTCGCTGTCGCTTAGCTTTCCTGTCTCTGCGCAGAGCTGTCTGAAGGGCTCTGTTGGAGAAGGGCTCGTGCCTGGCTCCTTTACCTACTCATCCTCGAAGACCTAGCAGAGCATCTCCTCCAGGAAGCCCTTGGAGACCCCCTGGACAGAATGAATCCCTCTCTCCTCTGGGTACCCATTAGAGCGCTGACCACTCCACCTGAAAACAGACATGTCTGAATCTGCCCCAGACGTTTGTGGAAACTTAGCTCAGGGAAACAGAGGCCCTATTTATCCGCTCCTCCCCCCTCACAGTGGGCAAACACGTGCAAATCAAGGACTGGCAGGATCCAAGCTGTTGTGTTGTCGGCCTGCTCCCTTGCAGGGGAAACAGCTCAGTCGCTTTGGACCAGTTTCCTACCCTCTTAGGGGGCACAACATCCTCACTTGTAAACTGGGTATTAAATCCTACTGTGCAGGGCTTCTGGAAGGATGAAATGAGATGACAGGTGCAAACAGCACCTAATACGTAGTGAAGACTCAATAAACATGAACTCTTAGGAGAACACAGCACAATGCAATGTTAGCCAAGGCAGATACTCGGCCAAGGGTCCACCCCGTCCGCTGCCTCAGAACCGACATGGGAAAAGGCCAAGAGCTAGACACCTTCAACCTTTCTTCCAGTTCCCTGAGCAGGCCCTCTCATTGCCCCTGGCCTAATGAGTCACCCCTCCGTCCCTGGGTCTTTACCTTTGTAGAAGGAGGATTCATGGTGTCTGGAGCTCAGAGTGGCGTAGCCGGGAAAGGTGTCGTCTGCAGTGGTCCAAATAGCCAGGAGCTTTGAGGCTGTCGACTGCAACCCGCTACCAGGGTCCTGGGGTTTATAGTGCTCTGGGGTGGCGGGGGAGAGATGGGCACTTGCGTCCACTGTGGGGCCAGACAATGGCAAATCTAAGATTAGCCTCCTGCAGGAGGGCCGTCTCCAGGCTGGGCCCAAGGAATGGTCGCCAAGGCACTCAGAGACTGGAGGTGGATCATTGTGCTCCTGGTCACCTCCCCACCCTCGTCTGTCTGCCTGCTCCCTGGAGATGGGGCGGTCTCCGGGCACTAATGAGGCCGACTTGCACCTAGGAATCTGGGAGCACAAAAGAGGCCTTGCCTGGGATGCTGGTGTGGGACAGTGTGTCAGGGGAGCTGCTAATTAGGGGCAGGAAAGGAGGCAGTCGTGAAACCCACTCTCCACAGGATGTGTGTGGGGGGAGAGGGCAGCCAGGCAACAGGCCTCTCCCCCCGTCCTCCTGTCACTGCTCCTGGGGCTTTCAGGCTCCAGGGCCTTCTTTCTCCACGGAAAAGCTTTCTTAGCTGGCTCTCCCTCCCCTCTGTCTCTCTTCTTCCCTCTGTCCCTTTCACCAGCCTCCAAGATGGAGAAACTTGAAAGCCAACCCTGGGCAGTGGGAGGGAAGCAGCAAAACCTGGTGAGATCCTTCAACATCCTCAGCTTCCTTCCTACCTGGCTGGGCTGCCTGGACAGGAGGGATGGAGTCCCATCCCACTATCAGCAAAGAGAGAGCCACCATGGGGTGAAGGACACATGCCATCTCTAGGCTGGTGTCTTATCCAGGGCACTGTCTACTGAGCACCAGTTCCGTGCCAGGCCCTGCTCTGGGCACTGGAGTGACAGTGTGCATAGGATATAGCCCAGTTTTCAAGGAGCTCCAAAGTCCAGGTGGGGAGGCGACCCGGCAATAAGGCCAACTCAGTGGAGAAAGGCCTCTGAAAAAGCCTTGCGTGAAAAGGGGGTTTCATCAAGTAAGGTCAGGGGAGAAGGCATTCTGAAGAAGGGACGAAGACCTAGACATGACAGTGCTTATTTCACACCGGAAGTAAGGTGTGGTCCACAGATCACTTCTCTTACAAGAGAGAGGTGACTGGACAGGTAAGTGAGGCCAGGGTGGGTCAAAGGGTCTTATTGGCTAAGCTGATTGGTCTTGAGCTCACGGGCGCTGAGGCACTGTGGGAGGATTTTAGCAGGAAGGAGTTGTGGGCTGGTGTGGGGACCAGGTGGGAGGGGGCAGGGGCCTGGATGTGGGGCGTGGAATCTAGAAGTGGTAATTCAGACGCAGAACCTGAAGCTTGGCAGCTGATTGGGATCAGGTGCCGAGGTACTTAGGAGGAGCTGCGGGGCTTTGGGCAAACCTCACGACCCCACAAAGCCTCAGTTTCCCCACTGGTAAGATGGACAGTTAAGCCAGATGGTCTCTGGAGCTGCTTTCTGCTCTGATTCTTTATGATTTACAGTACAGGGCCTGCCCATGGAAGTGATCTGTGGGTGTTGGGCCAGGAAGGGAACCCGTGCTAAGCCAGGGCAAGGGGAGTTGGGGAGCAGCCCCTCCGCATTTAGGTAAAGCTTGGAATGGGGAGAGGTAGGACGAGGGGCTCTGTGTCTTCTGGGTTGACTTAGGCTGTGGTAGGGGTCCCCGAGGGCTCTGCGGGCCCACACACTCAGGGCCTGCCCCAGCCCGGAGGGGGAGTGTGGGGAAAGCCCCGGTGTCCAGAGCTGAAGCTGGGAGGGGAGCCCAGGCTGCAGCAGCACCAGAGCGAAGGGGACCACTGGTTTCCCCAAAAGCAGACCCCAAGCCAAGATTCTGGGCGCAAGAGGTTTATTTGGGCGGTGATCCAAGAAAGCATATAAGGGAGTAGGGATGGGAGGGGCAGAAGGAAAACCAAGAAGAACTTTGTTAATGAGAGGGTTACCGCTGTGGGCAACTGGTGGTGACCCTCCGAGGGAGACAATCCAGAATACACTTCAGAGTTGTCCCACTGAGGGACGATGAAGCTGAGGTCTGTGATCACCAGCTCCTGTTCCTTGCTGACTGAGGGTCACTCCTGAGAGCATTAACTCCCAACACTTCCAGCCTGCCTGGTGCACGGGCTGAGAGACACAGGCACTGTCAGCATGGACTGGAACCCCAGGATCTTCCAGGGTGGGCCGGGGGGCTCCAGATGGGGCACTGCTGGTGTCTGCTCTATCCCTGAAGTCCACTCCTCAGAACTGACAGACTAGGTCGGGCCTCCCCAAGGCCCAGCAGCTCTGATGGGCAACCGTCAGCTGACACTCGAAGACCCTGGCCAAGGGCTCCCCATCCAGAGGGGCCCCAGAGGAAAGAGCGAGGCGGCCCGTGAGGGTGGACAGGGCAGCGGGCAGAGGCCTCAGCTCAGGACACCACCCTCCTCTGCAGGTACTGGGCCAGGTGCCTGTGCTTGAGGACCCGGGGCATCTCGGGAGGGAAGGGGGCTGAGGGGCAGGCAGCAAGGGCTGCCCGCAGTTCTCTGAAGGCCCCCCACCCCACCAGGTGGACTCGGGCAGGGCCCACGCTGCCCCGGAACCGCAGGGACTTGTAGCGAGCGGAGGCTTCCTGAAGACAGTGGTCAAGCTGGAAACAGAAGGGCCTGCGTGAGGCTGGTGTGGGGCTGGGGGGTGTGTGGTGAGGCACGCACGGCTGTGTCCAGGGAATGCGTGGGTAGCAGTTTCGTGTGTATACGTGCGTGTCTGTGGGACTCATCCCTCCCTTCCCAGAGCCCCAGGGAGGTTCTCCTGCCCACACCCCTCCTCCCCATCTCTCCCCTGTGCCCACAGCACCTGGGGGCATGCAGAGTGAAAGGGACATGCAGTCATATCCTGTCCCTGTCTCTTGTGTACCTTGTCTCGATTTTCCTCCGACAAGTTCCTTAGCCCCTTCAGTGCCACAAACACCTCATAGTGGGGAGCAGAACCCTCGGAGGAATCTGTAGACAAACCCCCCATCGTGGACACATGCTTTTGTGAACAGGGCAGCATCCAAAGCCGAAGCCTACTGCCCCCACCTGTTCTTCCCCACTCCCAGGTTCACAGTGGGGAGAAAAGGAGTTTCTTGGCAGGGAGTGGGGTGAATGGAGAGAAAATGGATAGAGGCAGCAGGAGGGATGGGAGTTAGATATGGGGAAGAACTTTTGTTAGGAGCAGCAAAACAGGCTGACTCTTTTCTCTTTCCTAGAGATCTCCCAGCAGGATGGGTATGGGTTGGGGGACAGTCAAGCCAAGGACGGGAGGCAGGAGCCAGTGGAGAATCTTACCCAGAATGCTGCTCTCCACACAGCCATGGTCCAACAGCCTGGCCCCTGGCCACTGCCCCACCGCCCGGCCCAAGGCCTCAGAGAACACGTCCTCACCAGTGTCTTCGCCTCGAACACTCAGGGTCTGGCCCAGCCTGGGGAGGAGGAAGCAGGAGGAAGAGGAACCCAGGGCAAAAGGATGATCTCTCAGCCACCCAGGGGGTCACTTACCTGCAGATGAACCTGACGACCGGACACTGATTGTAGGCACCAACCACCTGGACCACGTCACCCAGGCGGCACCTGATAGAGTGGAAGTGGGGGTGAGGTCAGGCCCGAAGGCCCATTAGCTCATGCCCCTGGCTTTCAGCAGGGTTCCAGAGGGCCTGAGGTGGCCTGGGGGTGGGCAGCCAGGTGGTCACCTGGTGAGGCTGGTGTGGTTAGTCAGCACCAGTTCGTACTCCTTGCCCTTCTGGGCTTCGGCCAGTAGGACGGTGGGGGCAGCCTCTTCCCGGGTTCCTTCCTTGAGTGGGAGCAGCTCAATAAAGGGGCCTCCAGGGGGCAGAAGGTACAGGCCATGGGGCTGCTCTGGCCACAGACTCAGGCCCACCGCCCCTGTGGGGAGCAAGCGGCTTCTTCATCTGGTGGTACCATTGCTTTCTGCTGGGCAATAGCCCCTCACCCTGGATCCCAGTCCCCAATCCTCTGAGCATCGATCCCACTGCTGCCCTCCCACTCCACCCTTCCTGGCTCCCCCAGGCTCAGCCCTCTGCCTCTAAGGTCTTAATTGGGAAGGGGCGGTGGTTCTGGAGGTGATGGACCTGTGGTTAAATGCTGGTGTGGTGTAAATTTGTGTGTCTCTTAACCTCTATGAGCCTCAGTTTTTTCATCTGTAAAATGGAGCTGCTGGTGTTGGGGAGTATTAGGTGAGATGAATATATAGGGCTTGCTACTTGGCAGCTAGCTGTGTGACCTCTGCCCCCTGCCCTCACCTCACTACCCTTGAGTCTTGCTGACCTCCAGAGGCAGCATAAGCAGGTGAGAAGAAGGCTAGCCCTTGGCACCACAAGGCCCCCAGGGCAGCCACAGCCTCAGCCTGGCCTCCTGCATCCAGAGTCACCACCACCTGAAGCTTTGGCCAGAGCCGAAGGGCCAGTCCTCGGGGTCCCTGCTCCAGGGCCTCCCGCAGCTCAGCTGCCCGTCTGGGGAGAGATGCTCCTGGGTTCCCAGCAGCTAATGCCTCAGCCAGCTCTTCGCCATCGGCCTCCAGGCCCAAGAAGACGTCTAGGAGCTCGACCGCCGTGCCAGCTTCCAGAGCCCGCAGCCCCGGGGACCTCAGTGCCTCCAGCAGCAGGGCCCTAGGGTCCTTGGCTCCAGCAGGGCCCAACTGGCCCAGGGCATGCCAAGGCCAAGGGAGGGGGTGGGGCCAAGGGGAGGAAGGGGTCACACGGGCCGTGCCTCCTGGAGCCAGCACTTCTGGGCAGGTCTTTTTTAGGGCTGCCAGACCCAGCAAGGTGGCCTGGAGGGAGACAAGAGGCAGTGTTGTTGGCCCTGGGCCTGAGCCAGACCCTGAGGCCCCAGGCTTTTTGTTTGTTTGTTTCCCATTCTGATGGGAGGGTTTGGCTGCAGTTAGGGGTCTCTGGTGGGGTTGGGCTCCAGCCTTCCCAGTTTACCTGCAGAGAGACCTCCCCACGGTACTGGTTTGAGATAGGAGGCAAGAGCTGCACTCCGCTTTCTTCCTCCTGGAGCTGGCTGGCCTTGGTCAGAGGGAGATGATTCTGGAAGACGCCTATATCTGTAGCCCCAAAGACATCATAAAATCCTCATGAAGCCACAGAGTTTCCCAAGAGTTTCAGGTAAGACTGGTGAGGCCCCTGAGGAAGGAACCCAGAACAGGCCTGGGGGAAGAGGGGCTGTCAGGGCCCAGGATGGGAAAATTCATCTTGAACAATCTCGGGCCTGGGTAGGGTCTCTGGGTCAGGTCCCTCTGTGTTGGCAGTAGAAGGGGGAAGGGAGGTCTTCAGGTTCTGGAATCTGACTGTCCTATGGGGTTTCTTTCTCTTTGGGCCACCTCCCCAGACCCTGGGAAACACACCTGTGCTCCCCCTGAGGGGACAGTGGGGACTCTGGGCTCCCTGCAGACACCGCCTCAGGGCCCGCTGCTGGCTCTGGCCCGCGTGCAGCGTGCTCTGCACTAGGCTCTTCCGCTGCCAGGCGGCTGCCCAGCACAGGGCCCCCCATGCCACACGGTGCTGGAGATGGACCAGCCAGGACAGCCTGGCATCCTGGGACGGCCACCGCCGCCAGAGCACGGCCAGCGGCAGCAGCAGGAGGCACAGCAGGAGGCACAGCAGTAGCGGCAGCAGCATCTCCAAGCAGCTCCTGGCAGGAGGAAGGCCCCCAAGTACTGGCACTGGGGGGAGGGGGGAAAACCCATTTCCTCCCCCCCACTCTCCCGCGCACAGGAACCCCAAGTTAAACCTGTCAGGCGGGTGATGCGGGGGGAGAGAACATCAAGGCTTTGGGGTCACACTGACCTGAGTTTGGATCCTGGCTCTGCCCCTCGTTAGCTGTCTGGCCCTGGGTAACTCAGCCAGCTGCTCTGAGTTCCGTTCCCTTCCCCAATCTGTAAAATGGGAATAATAACACCCCTCAGAAAGTGCAGGAAAGGCATGGCACGGTGCCTGGCACACAGCAGGTACTTAACGGATGGCATGTCTGGCCCACTACCGAGAGGCTCTGCTTTGTCCAGGATCCACCCTGTCCCAGCATCCTGTGCCCCCCCGAAGCCCACATGCACCTGTCACAGCCCACTTGTTCCTCTGCCTGGCACCCAGGGCCCCCTCAGCACCCCCCTACAGCCTCAGTACACAGCCGGCCAGAAGCATGGAGCCACAGCTTTAAAGGGCTGGGCCTGAACCAGGAAATCCGGCCACCGGGCCTGAGGGAGGAGCTGGGAAGGGGGGGCTCTTAAAGGGGCAGGTTGCCTAAGGGCCGCTGTGCGGGAGCTGGCCCAAGCTGGCAGGTGGAGGGAAGTTAGGGCCAGAGTATCGTGGTCCTCAGACTCGTATCAGCTTGAGCCGGGAGTGGGGTGCACCCCATCCTGGAGCAGGTGCAAACTTGAGAACTGTTTAAAAGCAAAAATTTTTTCCAATCCAGAATTGGTCTCCACAAAGGTAGTAGAGGAAGAAAATACTTTTGTTATTGAATAAGCATTAAAGCAGAGTGTGAAGCCTCACAGGCAATCTGGGACTGGGACTGCAGAGAGAAAAGAATCTCGCTCCCTTTTAAAGCCAGAGCCAGGCAGACATAACCCATTAACACCTGTTCTCAAGATAACTACCTGGTAATTGAGGTCACCACCTGTGTTAGCTTATTGGCTTTATCGCAAGGAAACACAAACTCCTCCCATCCTTATGGCAGGAGATAGTTTTGCAACTGGGAATAAGGTGCCTGATGGAGCTCGGCTCCCCCACCCTACTGAGAAGCTTGAGAAGCTGTGCTCAGAATGAGATTCTTCTGCTGTCCGTGGTTAAGCCCTCTCTCCACCTGTGCCCTTGACCCAGGCTCTCAGACACTGAAACCTTTCCCTTCACCCTCACCTGCCTCTCCGTCTTGCAGTCTCTCTTCTTCTCACAGCTGAGCTCTTAAAGTATACAATTCAGTGGTCTCTAGTATCTTCATAGGTATGTGCAACACCAACAGTCAGTTTTATAACATTTTCATCACCACAGAAGCAATCCCAGGCCCTTTAGCTATCACCTCCCAATCCCTTCCCACCTCGCTGCCCCCAGCCCTAAGCAACCACAAATCTACTCTCTCTATATATACATTTCACTATTCTGGACATTTCATTGTAAATGGAATCATATAACATGTGGTCTTTTTTTTTTTTTTTTTTTTTAGGACAGGTGGACTCTCAACCACTGCGCCACCAGGGAAGCCCAACATGTGGTCTTTTGAGTCTGGCTTCTTTCACTTAGCACGTTTTCAAGGTTCTTCCATGTGGTACTGTGTACCAGTAGTTCATTCCTTATTATTGCCAAATAATGTTTCATCGTATGGATGTATCACATTTGTTTATCCATTCATCGGTTGATGGACACTTGGGTCATTTCCACTCTTTGACAATTATGTAAAATGTTGTTATGAATGTCTGTACAAGTTTTTCTGTGGACATATATTTTCTTGCATAAAAATGGAATGCAAGGGATTCACTGCGTTCCATTGAGTGGAATGTCAATGTCAGCGTTGTGTATTAACGGTTTAACTGTTTAAGGAACTGCTAAATTGGTTTCCAAAGTGGCGTCACCATTTTACATTCCCACCACCAGTATATGAGGGTCCTAGTTTCTCTACATCCTTGTCAACACTTGTTATTATCTGCCCTTTTGAATTATAGTCATCTTAGTGGGGTGTGAAGTGATCTGAGTCAGTTTTTGCATTTTCCTGATGACCAATGATGTCGAGCATCTTTTCATGTGTTTATTGGCCATCTGTATACTTTTTCGGAGAAACGTCTTTTCAGCTTCTTTACCCATTTTTTAACTGGACTACTTGTCTTTTTATTATTAAGTTGTAAGAGTTCTTTATATATTTTACATACAAGTCCCCTATCAGATATATATGATTTGCAAATATTTTCTCCCATCTTTTGTGTTATCTTTTCATTTTCTTGATAGTGTCCTTTGAAGCACAAAATTTTTAGTTCTGATGAAGTCCAACCACCTATTTTTTCTCTTGCTGTTTGTGCTTTTGGTGTTGTATCTAAGAATTCATTGTCAAATCCAAGGTCATGAAGATTTACCCTTATGTTTTCTTCCAATAATTTTATAATCTTAGCTCTTACATTTAGGTCTCTGATCCATTTTTTTTGATCCATTTTTTTATTGTGGTAAAACATACATGAGTTACCATTTTAACCATATTTAAGTATCCACTTCGGTGCCATTAGGTACATTCACATTGTTGTGCAACCATCACCACCATGTCTCTCCAAAATTTTTCGTCTTTCCAAACTGAAACTCTGTACTCATTAACCAATAACTCCCCATTCCTTGGCAGGCAACCACCATCCTATTTTCTGTCTTTATGAATTTGACTACTCTGGGTGCCTAATATAAGGGGAATCTTACAATATTTGTCCTTTTGTGTCTGTCTTATTTCACCTAGCATAATGTCTTCAAGATTCATCCGCGTTGTAGCATGTGTCAGAATTTCCTTGCTTTTTAAGGAAGGAAATATACGTTGTATGTATATACCACATTTATCCATTCATTCATTGATGGACTTTTCTGTTTTTACCTTTTGGCTATTATGAATAATGCTGCTATGAAGACGGGTGTACAAATATCTGTTTGAATCCCTGCTTTTAATTCTTTTGGGTATATTCCCAGAAGGGGAAGTGCTAGATCATATGGTAATTCATATGTTTAATTTTTTGAGGAACCACCATACTGTTTTCACAGCAGCTGCACTATTTTACATGCCTGCCTTCAATGTACAAGGGTCCCAATTTTTCCACATCCCCTACCACAGTTGCTGTTTTCTGTTTTGTTTTGTTTTTTAAAATCTTTGACATGGCTCGATAAGGCTGCCTTTAAAAAATATATTTCTTAACTTTTTTGGCTGTGTCGGGTCTTCGTTGCAGTATGCGGGATCTTTCGTTGCAGCACGTGGGCTTCTCTCTAGTTGTGGCGTGCGGGTTTTCTCCCCCTACTTGTGGCCCACGGGCTCCAGGGCGCATGGGCTCTGTAGTTTGCGGCAGGCGGGCTCTCTCTTTGAGATGCAGGCTTAGTTGCCCCGCAGCATGTGGGACCTTAGTTTCCCGACCAGGAATCAAACCCGCGCCCCTGCACTGGAAGGTGGATTCTTTACCACTGTACCACCAGGGAAGTCCCTGTTTTTGTTTTTTATAATAGCCAACCTGATGGGTAAGAAGTGGTATCTCATTGTGGTTTTGATTTGCATTTCCCTTACAACTGAGCATCTTTTCCTGTGCTTCTTGTCCACCTGTATATCTTCTTTGGAAAAATGTCTACTCATGTCATGCTCCCATTTAAAAGTTTTTGTTGTTGTTGAGGAGTTCTTTATATATTCTGGCTATTAACCCCCATCAGACATACGATTTGCAAATATTTTCTCCCATTCTGTGGGTTGCATTTTCACTCTGTTAAGTGTCTTTTGAAGCATAAAAGTCTTTCTATGTTTTATTTTTTTGGCTGCACCATGGCGCAGCTTGCAGGACCTTAGTTCCCCAACCAGGGATTGAACCTGGGCCCCTGCAATGAAAGCACCGAGTCCTAACCACTGGACCACCAGGGAATTCCCAAAAGTTTATTTTGATGAAGTCCAATTTATCTTCTGCTCCCTATGCTTCTGGTGTCTTGGCCAAGAAATCATTGCCAAATCCCACATCATGAAGCTCTCTGTTTTCTTCTTAAGAGTTTTATATAGCTTTAGCTCTTACGTTTAGATGTTTGATCCATTTTTAATTTTTTTATATGATGTAAGGTAAGGTTCCAAATTCATTCTTTCACTTGTGGCTATCCAGTAGTCCCAGCACTATTTGTTGAAAAGACTATTCTTTTCCCATTGAATGGTCTTGGCACCCTTATCAAAAATTTGTTGACCATAGACACACTGGTTTCTTTCTAGACTCTGAATTCTATTCCACTTATCTATAGGTCTATCCTTATGCCAGTGCCACACTTTGTTGATTACTGTTGCTTTGTAGTAAGTTTTGAAGTTCATAAGTGTGCCTACTTCATTTTTCTTTTTCATTTCGTTATGTAGGACTGTATTGTCTAATTTCCATATATTTGCGAATTTTCCAGGGCTTCTGATGAAGCTGCTCGACACCATTAGTCATCAGAGAAATGCAAATAAAAACTGACTCAAGTCATGTCACACTCCACTAGGATGGCTATAATCAAAAGGTCAGAAAATAACAAGTGTTGGCAAGAATGTAGAGAAATCAGAACCCTCATGTAAAATGGTGCAGCCACCTTGGAAACCAGTTTAGCAATTCCTTGTTTCTTGTCCAAGTAAACCAGTTTCCTTGTTTAGTGAGTGGCAGGATTATGTTAGTGAGTCTATCTGCTCCCCACTGCCCACCCACACACAGTGTGAAGCCTCTGATATTGCTACTTAGGGGGGAGTTATGCCCACAGTCACCCTAGCAGGACAGTGAATTGCACAGATCTCTCCTTGTCTCTTTCCC